GATAGATAGATAGATAGATAGATAGATAGATAGATGATAGATAGATAGATAGATAGATAGATAGATAGATAGATAGATAGATAGATAGATGATAGATAGATAGATAGATAGATAGATAGATAGATAGATAGATAGATAGATAGATAGATAGATAGATAGATAGATAGATAGATAGATAGATAGAAGATAGATAGATAGATAGATAGAAGATAGATAGATAGATAGATAGATAGATAGATAGATAGATAGATAGATAGATGATAGATAGATAGATAGATAGATAGATAGATAGATAGATAGATAGATAGATGATAGATAGATGATAGATAGATGATAGATAGATAGATAGATAGATAGATAGATAGATAGATAGATAGATAGAAGATAGATAGATAGATAGATAGATAGAAGATAGATAGATAGATAGATAGATAGATAGATAGATAGATAGATAGATAGATAGATAGATAGATAGATAGATAGATAGATAGATAGATAGATAGATAGATAGATAGATAGATAGATAGATAGATAGATAGATAGATAGATAGATAGAAGATAGATAGATAGATAGATAGATAGAAGATAGATAGATAGATAGATAGATAGATAGATAGATAGATAGATAGATAGATAGATAGATAGATAGATAGATAGATAGATAGATAGATAGACAGATAGACAGATAGATAGATAGATAGATAGATAGATAGATAGATAATAGATAGATAGATAGATAGATAGATAGATAGATAGATAGATAGATAGATAGATAGATAGATAGATAGATAGATAGATAGATAGATGATAGATAGATAGATAGATGATAGATAGATAGATAGATAGATAGATAGATAGATAGATAGATAGATAGATAGATAGATAGATAGATAGATAGATAGATAGATAGATGATAGATAGATAGATAGATAGATAGATAGATAGATAGATAGATAGATAGATAGATAGATAGATAGATAGATAATAGATAGATAGATAGATAGATAGATAGATAGATAGATAGATAGATAGATGATAGATAGATAGATAGATAGATAGATAGATAGATAGATAGATAGATAGATAGATAGATAGATAGATAGATAGATAGATAGATAGATAGATAGATAGATAGATGATAGATAGATAGATAGATGATAGATAGATAGATAGATAGATAGATAGATAGATAGATAGATAGATAGATGATAGATAGATAGATAGATAGATAGATAGATAGATAGATAGATAGATAGATAGATGATAGATAGATAGATAGATAGATAGATAGATAGATAGATAGATAGATAGATAGATAGATAGATAGATAGATAGATAGATAGATGATAGATAGATAGATAGATAGATAGATAGATAGATAGATGATAGATGATATAAAACAACAAAACATTAAAAACAATTAATGAAACAAAATAGGTAAAAACAAATAGAACAAATTAAAAAAAGATAAAAGCATAAAAATAAAATAAAATTCTAAATCTATTTTAAAAACTTACTACAGAGATGTTCCACACGATTAAGAGTAACCACACTCTTCAACCAGTGTTTCCTTATACTGGACGACTGCTCACAGCAGGATCAGTGATTGCTAAAACTATACTGTTGGCAGAGCTAACCAGTCGTTCTCTAAAAGTGAATATAAGTTTTCCTAAAAGAGCTTTAAAAGTACAAATACCTGCTGTTGCAACCATCTGACTGGCCCTGCCCCCTCGGGGTATTTTGAGTCTGATTCTTAAGGCATCGTTGTATGCAACATGCAGCTTATTCATGCTGCTTTGGTTGTAGGAGGACCACAGTTGGGCTGTATAAAGAGGAGTGCAGTATGCTTTAAATAAAGCCACCTTAACTGGAGGTGAACAAAAACTATAGTATTGGCCTGTGCAGACAGCTTACAGCACTGTCTATGGATGTCAGCATCATCACACATTTGATCAGTTATAAAGTGGCCAAGGTATTTCACCTTCTCACACACATTAAGATCACTATTAGACAGTCTGAACACTAGAGAGTTTAGCCTTTTATCCTGCTCTGTTCTACATATCAAGATAGCACTTTTAACAGCATTATACTGGACATCGTACTGCACACCACATTCAGAACTGATATTTAGCAGCTGTTGTAAACCAGCACTACCACCAGGTCATCAGCATACATCAGATGGTTGATCAGAGTTGTACCCATCAAACATCCTGTGTTACAGGCTCTCAGCTGCACTGACAGATCGTCAACATACAAATTAAATAAGAGAGGAGACAGAATTCCACCCTGCCTAACACCAAATGGTGCAGAGATGCTGCCGCCCCATTTAACCTGCATCACCTGATGAGCATACCAGTAAGACAGGATCCTCACAATACACCCAGGGACCCCCGTAGCTTTAACTTAATAAAAAGTTTTCTGTGGTTTACACGATCAAAAGCCTTAGAAGCATCAATAAAACACAAAAGGACAGAAGAATTTCTATTTCTATACCGGTTCACCATTTCTTTAAGTGCGTATATACACACGTCAGTACCATGTTTAGGCTTAAAGCCAAACTGTTTATCCAAGGAACTGAGGTACACAGTGATTCTATCAAATATGATTCTTTCTAAAACTTTAGATAAAACACCGGCTAGTGCAATCGGCCTATAATTATCCATACTGGTCACCTTCCCAGATTTGTTCTTAATGACTGGGACAAGCAGAATTGCCATCATTGAGTCTGGTAGTATTGCCATGAATCATAAACCGTGTAAAACAAAGAGCTAAAAGGGGAGCTAGCCTTAGGCTAGCATATTTCAAATGTTCTGCACTAATGTGATCCAGACCACAAGCCTTGTTATCAGCTAGGTTGTGAATAGCTTCATGCACCTCATGGGTCCTTAAACATACAGATTCATCATTAACAACAGAGCCATCCTCATACCCATCACGTTTAAACAACTGAACAGTATTATCTTCCCCAGAAACACCTTCAACAGTACCTGGCAGAGATGATTTGAAATTATTCATTGTTTTTACATCTTTCCAGAAACCTTTGACATCATTACTCATAAATTCCCTGGCCATAGAATCTGCCCTCATGATCTGTTCATTTTTTGATAGAAAACGAACGACGTACTTATATCTGGCATTTGCACGTTTTTTCTGTTCATATTCCAGACCTTGCTTGGGTCTCCCAATCATAACCCAAAGTTTAAAAGCTACCCGTGCTTCATCCTGATACATGGCAACATGTTCCTTCCAGCCAGGCCTGACATGAGGTTTCTGCTTGTGCTTACCTTTGACATGAGATGGCTTACCACGATCACACAAAGTGTCCACTATATCATCATACATAGAGCAGAGTTCACTTTATGTTCGAGATTCTTACACAGGATAGCCTCTTTAGCCACAGACATATTGTTTAGATATTGATCTGTATTATTACTATAAGGCTATATGTCTTTGTCACTAAATGCTGCCCATTCTAATTTTATATTATTATCAATATTATTGACATAATTAACTCCCACTGTATCAGGCAGTTGTTCCACATTTATAGAGAAAGCAAGAGGTATATGATCTGACACAGCTACCCCATACTTGATAGTCATGCTATCCAAAGCTGTATGTCCATCAGCTGTACTAATACAATGATCCAGCCATGATGTGTTATGCCAAGCCTCGCCAATAAATGTGTAACTGTCTTTTGGCAAAAACACTTAGCTAGATAGAATAAGATCATTGTCTTCACACAATTGTGTTAAAGGGGCATTATGGAAGTTTGACAGTCAAAACATGTATAGAAATAATAAATGTCTTCTTCATACATTCTCCTGCAATGCCCTGGTCCTGCAGAATGAGACCTGGCATTTTTACTGTGATTGCCTGTTTTTCTGTAAAGTCACAGAAAAAGAGAGATGCTCGGGTCGAGCAGGCTGCTTCATGCGCGTTCACGCTCAGACATCGCCCGTAGCATTTGCTATCCGTAGCTTTAGCAGCAGAGAGAGAGGCAGTGCACTTTGTCGCTGTTCCTAACGCCTAGTGACAAAGCTAGCTACATTTCTGAGGACCCTTAGCTACTTTCTGTAGAACTTTCTTCTAGATATTTCCTGCAAATTAGCAACAAAATAGCCATTTTCAGTCTGAACCGTTCTTTGAACGTTGTTTCAGCTGTCATCAAGGATATAAATATTACAGATACTGTGAATGTTACTAGAGTGTAGCTCACCTAGTAAGGTGTCTGACTCCCATGCAGAAGATCTGGGTTTGATTCTGGGTGTGAACATAATTCATTAAGAGTTTCTTTTTTACATTAGTGGTATATTTTTTTACAGTAAGATGCCCACATTTTTATTTGAGACTCGCCGAACCGTATTGAATTCACAGATAAAAAAGATGTGGGTTCAACTTTCATTTTGGAACAATTTTTCAAGCAAGGGAAGGGAATGATCTAAGCATGCAGGAGGACTGACCCATCTTAAACCTTTGTCGGCTGTGCTGAAGAGAAAGGTACAGAACCAAATTATTTAATTAATTAGCTGTGCGTTCTCCTGTCCTCTGTCCTCCGGGCCACACACACACACACACACACACACACACACACACACACACAGGACTGTCTCAGCTGTTATTTTCATTAAGGAGTGTGCACGTACAGCATGCGCGCCTCGTGCACGAGCCTACTATTGAAGCTGCCATTACGCTTTTGGCCTGAGGGGGCAATCGCGAGCATAAAAATTCAAAAGTCCGAAAAGTCCCTTTAAAGTCACCCACAACATATATACTATAAGCACTGTGGCTTTGAATAAATGCATTAATAACTGCCAACCTACTGAGATATTCCCCTTCATTTCCAGCAGTTTCATATGGAGTATAAATATTAAGGATAACAAAACTATTGTTATTCTGGATATATTGTATGCCAATACACTAATCTATATCCAGTCGGATTGGCTTAATTACAGCATCAGTTGTTTTCTGCCTCTGACTATAGCTGTGCTGAGATCAGTAGTTGATTCCCCCACTCTGAAAAAATTAGAATTGAGGTGGTTAAGCTTGTCTAGGTCTTGTTTAGGCACAAAAGTCTCCTGTAAACACAATATTTCACATTCTTCAAGCAAACTGTCCACAGATTTTTTTCTTCCTTTTTTCCTCATTTTAAAATTAAAAATATATAAAAATCACCAGCTTGAGTTTACAGACAGGCCCGGCCAATGGGATATTGCACCCTAAGTGACATTTTGTCTACTTCCGTTCTCCCCAGAGTTAGGTAAGTGAGTAAAAAGCATTTTGTAACCAGCGCAGTAATTCTCCAGCAGTCCGTCTGCTTTAGCTTAGCATAAACAATGGAAGCAAACAGCAGAAACTAGCATTTTGTGTGCAAAAGTGAATAAAATTACTCAATAATTATACCAACTATTCCTAATTGTAGCATAAGATCTTTGAGGAAAAGAACTGCGTGGAAAGTGATTTATGAAGCTTTTGATGACGTTCATACATGAACAGCCAGTTTTGTGGAGTAAGCTTCAGCCGGTTCACGTAAATACGTTTATTAATTAGTAATAACATAACTGCGTTTTGCACTTCTCAGCCAGCGTAAATCTGTGGTATAATTGCTATAACTTAAGACTTTGTGGCAGGACGGTACCTGAGGATGCTGGCTGAGCCTCTGGAGGTTGAGGGAAATGTCATTAAGCAGGTAGTCCGAGTTGTCATTGATCAGCTCCTTCAGGGAGGAGTAGCCACAGGCCTGACTGATGCACATCATGGAGCTCAGCGCTGCCTGGTTGACCAGCAGCGTCTCCTCGCCAGCTTTTTCCAACACGGGGTAGAGTGAGGTCATCAGAAGTGGACGGAAGTCCCTTCCCAGTGCCTGGGCGAGGCAGGCGAGGCCCTCGAGCTGGATGCACAGCTGCCAGATGTTGCTGTTGAGCTGGTGGACGGTCGAGGTCGTCATCGAGGGTGGAGGGGGGCCGGATGAAGAAGGGATCAGTTGAAGAGAGTTTGTAGCGATGGCGGTGGTATCACTGATGGATATGGAGAGGAGTCTGGAAGGGCTTAGCAGCTGTAGAAAAAATAAAACAAACGACGTATTTTCTCTTTGAATAAATGTTTATTATAAATCACCGCAGCAAGATAAAACCGAACATCTCCACACTTGACTGAATAATCTAACAAACATGACTCGGGATAATTGTCCCACTGACTGTGTGGTTCTGGTTTTAGAGTTCTTCGTGTTTGTTGGAGTTGGATTAGCAGCTAACAGCCTGTTTAGCTACAAGCTAACAGAATGCTGCTCGTGTTTTGGTGCCTTTCTTTGATTTTTAGCTAAAAAAATCAGACATAAAGCTGCTTCCCTCTCTGCTACGTCTGTTGGGCAGTGATTTTTCTGAGCTCTCGGTCTGAATGAAGTTTCCTGGTAAACGCTGAAGCATTTTTTTCAGAGAGAAGCAACTTAACCGTCAGCAAATGCATAAGCAAGTTGTGTTTTAAAGGCTCAGCAGGCAATTATCATGCTTCACTGGAAAAGTGTTTGTAAAGCATGGAAAAAGATAAGGAATGCAATTTTATAGGGAAAGAAATCAGAATATATTTAATAAACGGAGGTATTCTAAAACCATTCTATAAAAAAATAAGTTAAAACATTTTAAAAATCCTTCTGAGACTAAATCAAATTCAGCTTTTCTTTAAGCAATTTTTAGAGTTTGGCGGACACGTAGCAGCATTATGTACATTTCCTTCCATTTAGGTTGGGCCTAAACTTGTTATTCCAACAATACTTACTATGGTTTCTAGAATAAATAAAGCCTTACGAGTGTCTTCCATATAAAAAACACTCTGGCGCTCCTGTTTCAGGAAGTAGAAGTTATTCGGAAAAGAGGTAGATGAAAAATGACAAGATCTGGAGTCTTACTCATTAATATTCATGACATGCAAACATCTCGCCTCTGATTGGCTAACAGCAATGCAACTCTTCCACTGATGTTGTTTTCTCTTCTTTCTTGGATAAAAAAATCCAATGTTTATGTTTTATCTCCACAAAAAACACAAGCCTTAACATGTTCCGCCATGTTTTGGAGTTGCTAATGCTAACGGTTAGCTTCTACTAGCCGAGATGTGCTCTGCTCTCTCCTGGACACTAAATCAAAGCAGTCTTCCGCAGTCAGAAGACAAGGTAAGTCCATGAATGCAAATATTTCCCTGTGACATAGGAGGCACAAGTTTTTCTGACCCGAGGGTTTCCTCGTCGATTTTTAAACGTCACCTGCTGATCCTGACGATCTCCGTCCGTCTCCTCACATGTAGTGATCAGGTTCCAGTTAGTCAGACTGGTGTATTCCTCCATGATTGACACCGCCGCCACTTTGAGGTCTTCCTGCGAAGCAGAGGGTCCCTGAACTCCACTGTCCAAACACTGAGCCCCTGTTGCCATGGCGAGGCCTGCGGCACCTCTGACCATCTCATTCAGGACCATGGCAGCCTGCTTTCTGTATACCAGAGACTGACGGTACAGATCCAAGAAGTGGTCAGTCAGCAGGTAGATGTTACCATAGAAACCTAAAGAGAAAAAGAAAACATTAAAGCTTAACTAAAAGCTGCAAAAATGCCTATTAAAACTATTTCAGGCCCAAAATACACGCACCTATTCTAGCAGAATCTAAACGTCTAATTAGTGTCTTAACAATTTCACGTTGATTTACAAGCAATATTGTGAGAATCTACAGCGATCATTCATAAAGACTCTTCTTTAAGTTCCTGGTTTTCATTTGTACCTAAAGTCCGGCAGATCTCCATGAGCACAGAGAAGATCTTCTCATCGGTGAAGTACAGAAAATGCTTCTGGGGGATGTGAGCGGCATAGGAGCCTTCAGAGCCTGAACTTCGCTCTAAGCTCTCACCGTGACTCCTTTCCTCCACAATACGGACATCCACCACATCCAACTCCAGCACCTATGGAGGCAAACAGAGTTATTGGTTATTTAAAACAAGCTTTAAAATCGTAAGGATACAAAACAAAAGGAGGCAGACTGCATAAGAGACGAGCTGCTTCCACCCACCCTACCACTAATGAGAAGTCCACCCAGACTCTCTCTCTCTCTCTCTCTCTCTCTCTCTCTCTATGTATGTATGTATATACATACATACATATGCATACATACATGTATATATAAATATACAAACATACATACGTACATACATATATATATAAATATACATACATATGTATATATATATATATATAATATACATATATGTATTGTACATATATATGTATATACGTATATATATACATACATATATACATATATACATATATACATACATATATATATATATATATATATATGTATATATATATATATATGTATATATATGTATGTATATACATAAATATACATACATATATATGTATATTTACATTATTTATATATATATATATATACATTATATATATATATATTTTTTATATATATATATATATATATATATATATATACATATATATAGTAGAGAGCCAAACTGGAGTGACCGTTTCATGTGACACCATATGGCACACACTGCAGAGGAATGTCTTGTATGGGTATTGTCCATGAAGGAAGCCTCTCTTATGCACAAAAAGCATTCCTAGGGTTTGCTGGGGCCCATGCTGAAAGAGATGAAGACTACTGGGACTCTAGACTCTGGAGCGATGAGACAAACATCACTGCTTTTGGAACTAATGGTTTCAAAACTGTATGGCGTGATAAAGGTGAGAAATGAGTGGTGCCTACAGTGAAACACGGTGGTGGCGGTGTCCTTATGTGGGGCTGCATTAGTGCTGCTGCTGTTGGGGAGCTGCATCTCATAGATGGTATCATGGACTCAACAATGTGCAGCTCTATACTGAAGGAGAGCCTGCTGCATCAGCCTCGCTTGAGATGCTAAAAGTCCTGCTTGAGGTAGGACTTGTCCTAACCTGTAGCTGGCGATCCACCGGTGTTAGATTGTTAACAAACTAACTGTTCTGCAGACACCTGCAGTTCACTGTGCAGGCACACTGGCCAGTGAGAAATGATCTAATCTAACACATTTGCTGTTTTATTACCTGCATCAGCGCTTTAGAGATCCGCTCCAGATGTGCAGCAGAGTTCAGAACCACAGAGACAAGAGGTCCCAGAACTTTGAAATAACCCAGAAAAACTTTGAGGACAAACAGCTTCTTCTGGTCGTTAGAGGTTCTCATCAGTCGAGGAAGAGAGGTGGCCAAAGAGTGGAGATTCTCAGACAGGACATCAGCGAGGTTCTGACTGGTACCGTCACTGCTCCGACTGCAGCTCTGACTTCTCTGTGAGATCTCTCTAAGAGCAGCCTCACACCTTCAAAAGATGACAGAAGCTTCAGCAAACATCATAAACCAATGCATTTGTTTTAAATCTTGTTTTTTTCCACTTTTTCAATCACAACAAACCTCTCTCTAACTTTGGGCTCCTCATCATTGACCGCTCCTACCAGCGCTTCCAGCAGCAACCCCACACACTCTCTCAGTGACTGACTACACGCTACCAGCAGATGGTCCGCCAGCTCCACCATCTCCAGTCTCACCCTCCAGTGCCGGTGGGCTGAGGTGCAGGAGATGATCTTCTTCAGCAGCACAGAGAGCTTCCCTGCTGTACTCTTCACCCATTCCGGAGCCCGCTGGACCACCAGCTGTCCGATCCTGCCCAGCTCCTGGGAGGGAGTCTCACAGGCTTTACTGCTCTGCAGCTGAGCGTCTTCCATGACCAAACCCACGGACCCGCACCACACCTGGATAGAAGGAGACATTAAAATCAAAAATAAACATAGAAATGTGAATGTTTTTTGATATTAAGTTGGGACGTGTACTGAAAAGTGAGTTTATAATTCTAATATGCATGTGTTACGCTGCCAAAACTGATTTTTAACAAAGGTTTTTTTAAAAGCCTTGTTTAAAGGGACTTCATGGACTTTTGAATTTTTATGCTCGTGATTGCCCCCTCAGGCCAAAAACGTAACGGCAGCTTTAATAGTAGGCTCGTGCACGAGGCGCGCATGCTGTACGTGCACACTCCTTAACAAAAATAACAGCTGAGACAGTCCCGTGTGTGTGTGTGTGTGTGTGTGTGTGTGTGTGTGTGTGTGTGTGTGTGTGTGTGTGTGTGTGGCCCGGAGGACAGAGGACAGGAGAACGTGCAGCTAATTAATTAAATAATTTGGTTCTGTATCTTTCTCTTCAGCACAGCCGACAAAGGTTTATGATGGGTCAGTCCTCCTGCATGCTCAGATCATTCCCTTCCCTTGCTTGAAAAATTGTTCCAAAATGAAAGTTGAACCCACATCTTTTTTATCTGTGAATTCAATGCCGTTCGGCGAGTCTCAAATAAAAATTTGGGCATCTTACTGTAAAAAAAATATACCATTAATGTAAAAAAGAAACTCTAAATAAACTATGTTCACACCCAGAATCAAACCCAGGTCTTCTGCATGAGAGTCCGACGTCTTACTAGGTGAGCTACACTCTAGTAACATTCACAGTATCTGTAATATTTATATCTAGGGTCTGCTAGGGTCATGTTTGATGGCTGTTCATCAGAGTCACAGCCTCTACGTTGGGGTGTCCCACAAGGTTCAATTCTCGGCCCGTTACTGTTCAACCTCTATATACTGCCCTTAGGAGCCATTTTCAGAAAGCACGCTGTCTCATATCATCTTTACGCTGACGACTGTCAAATCTATTTTTCATTTAAGCCAACTCAATCAACGAAAGTTCTGTCTGATTGTATCCTTGAGGTCAAGCAATGGCTAGCTGATAACTTCCTCCATCTTAATGACTCCAAAACTGACTTAATCGTTTTCAGTCCTTACAGTACCACGGCGACTCATCAACCTGACCTCAACTATCTCTCACCTAAAGTATCCTCTGTAATCTCCAACCTTGGAGTAAAACTGGACCAGGCTCTGAAGATGGATGCCCAGGTCAATAACACAGTTAAATCATGTTTTTACCAACTAAGACGCATCTCGAAACTAAAGCACATCCTGAGTGTCCGTCTTCTGAAATCGGTGGTCATCACTTTTATCACTTCAAGGCTGGATTACTCTAACTCCTGCTTATACGGCATCAGTAAAGCAGCTCTTTCTAGACTTCAGCTGGTCCAGAATTCAGCAGCTAGGTTGCTGACTGGAGCTGACAGAAGACAACACATTTCTCCAATTCTGAAATCTCTCCACTGGTTGCCCGTGCAGTTCAGGATAAACTTCAAAATTATGCTTCTCACTTACAAATCCTTGAACCATCAAGCTCCTCCATATCTGTGTGAACTTGTCCATTTCTACAACCTGCCGCGTGCTCTCAGGTCTGAAGATAAGCTCCTCCTAGCTGTTCCGAATGCACGTTTAAAAAGCCGTGGAGAAAGGGCTTTCTCTGTCTGTGCACCGAAGCTGTGGAACTCATTACCACTGCTAGTGAGGCAAGCGACAACAGCTAGCATTTTTAAATCACGCCTGAAAACTCACTACTTCAACCTAGCTTATACAACATAATTATGAACCTCACTTACATCTGCACTGTCTAAAAATGGACTCCACAATTATCGACTTCCGTACTATTGAGGTTCTTTTTTAAAATGTTTTTTTCTCATTTTTATTCACCCTGTGTCTTATTGATTTTTAGCTGTTAGATTTTGGGAATTTTGTTGTATTTCCTTTTTATCTTTTATCTGTGTTCGACATGTTTGTATAACGCCGGTTTAATTAACTAACATTTTTAGTGTACAGCGCCTTGTTTGGTTGTAATGCCTTGTGAATGCGCTTTATGAATAAAATTGGATTGGAATGGATTGGATATCCTTGAAGACAGCTGAAACAACGTTCAAAGAACGGTTCGGAGCGAAAATGGCTATTTTGTTGCTAATTTGCAGGAAATATCTAGAAGAAAGTTCTACAGAAAGAAGCTAAGGGTCCTCAGAAATGTAGCTAGCTTTGTCACTAGGCGTTAGGAACAGCGACAAAGTGGCACTACCTCTCTCTCTGCAACTAAAGCTATGGATAGCAAATGCTACGGGCGATGCCTGAGCGTGAACGCGCATGAAGCAGCCTGCTCGACCCGAGCATCTCTCTTTTTCTGTGATTTTACAGAAAAACAGGCAATCACAGTAAAAATGCCAGGGCTCATTCTACAGGACCAGGGCATTGCAGGAGAATGTATGAAGAAGACATTTATTATTTCTATACATGTTTTGGCTGTCAAACTTCCATAATGTCCCTTTAAAAATCAGAAATAATATTTATAAAATGTTTTTGCAGCGAAACACAACTTTTAAAAGAGCCAGTGTTTCAGGTTGTCATAAAACCTGAAGAACTATCGCTCAAGACCACTAAATATTCATATATATGGCTTCTTAAAAGTCAAATAAAAAGAAGAGCTAGCTGACGTTACATGTGTGTTAATTGATTTTATGTCATTTTCTGTTTTACAGCATATAGCGTAGCAATAATTACTCATTTATTAATGTAATAAATAATTACAGTAATTAACAACATTTAAAATGACTTATAGTACCTTGATAGCCCTGACTGTAACAGCGTGGCCTTGTCTCAGGTTGCCTGTGATGATCCTGGACACAGCCATAGCGATTCCAGGTAAGAACGAAGCCATGGTGCTGCCTACAGAGCATCGCTCGTCTGAAGATGGAATCACGTGTTCCTGAGTGCAATCACAATGTAGAATCAAAGACTCGAGGCACCTTAGAGCAGCTGCTTGTACCTCTCTGGATTTCTCTTTCTCTCCTAGAGCCAACAGCAGCGATACAGCAGCACCGAGTCCAGGGAGCATGATGGGCTCATACAGTTTGAAAACTATATCCCCATAAGCAGCGTGGAGAAGAGCATCCAGGCACCTGAGCAAAGCAGATTTCAGCTCCTCTGACAAATCTGCAGGTTTTCCTGGATCCGTGGGAGAACAGAGGCAGAGGCAGAGCTCTGAGAAAAGATCGTGGAGGGTGTCCCAGCTCTGGACACACGTCTTCTCCAGAACATAGCTGAGAGCCTCAGCCACAGCCTGCACCAGCTTCTCCTTCTTCAACTGGGGGACTTTAAGTACAAAGCGTAGAGGGAAGAGGACGTACTCTTGCAGTTGTTGCAATGAAGCGTCATGAATTTCTTTTAACTGTTCACCGAGCGTCTCCACGTTAGCCACCGTGGGCTCCTTGGTGAGTAGGACGCAGGCTGGGCGCAGGTAGGCAAAAGCAACCTTTGGATCATTGATCTGAGACATGGTTGGAGACATCACAGCAGGGGCTGACGCTGCATGGGCAAAAGAGAGAAAGTGTTCTCAGGTACACAGAAATGTAAATGAATGTGATTTTTTTTTGGGTGAAATTAAAATTATTTTCATTCAACTTCTCAGTAATTTTCTTCTTTTGTTTTTCTGTTTATTAAAGACTTCAATTTTTGCCCGTCTGCTTAAAAAATAATCAAAAACAAAGCCTATGTAAAGATTTATACACATGTTAATAAACTCTATTCATTTGATTAACAGAAAATGGATAGCAACCAAAAAAAACAACATAAAAATGTCCTTTAGAATTGATTATTGTAACATGAAAAACAACACGGTTAAAACAAACAATAGCTACTATGGTTCCTACGTTCCTCAAAGCAGAATAAAGCTTCACATTAATCTAAATCTAACATTTTTATTTGATGTGAGCAAACAAATGAGTATTATTATTATTATTAGAATAAATTAACCTGTATTAATATCTCATGTCTGTCTGTGCTACCGATGGCCTTTAGCCTCCACCACGCCGCACCACGAACGGAATAAAAAAGACTACCTACCTTCGCATTAGTAATATTAAGCATTATAACTTAGATGCCATTGCTTATATTTAACTATAACATTAATAAATCCCATGTGTAGTATTTTACAGTGATGAAGTTTCCGTTTAAGGCTGTCGCCATCGTCACGAATCTGCGACAGCGGCACACAGATATGACAAAAACAAACACCTCCGGTTATTTTCAGAATAAGAGATGGTAAAAGTTTTTACTTTGAAGCTTCTGCTTTATTTTACTATCTGTTACTAGGCAAACGTGTGTGTGTGTGTGTGTGTGTGTGTGTGTGTGTGTGTGTGTGTGTGTGTGTGTGTGTGTGTGTGTGTGTGTGTGTGTGTGTGTGTGTGTGTGTGTGTGTGTGTGTGTGTGTGTGTGTGTGTGTGTGTGTGTGTGTGTGATAAAGTATGGCATTCGTTCATGAAATGCTTAGTCAGAAAATTAGTGGTGATGGCAATCTTGTTCATTGTGTTGAATGAACAGAATTTAAACAAGCCTCTCTCATAAATCCATCAAAATGAAAAATATTTCAATAACACATTTTTTTCCACCATAACTAAAGCATTTCTCACCTTAAATTAAATGCTAAATTTTCAAGAACCTAAAGAAGAAATTTTGGGTATCTAATCAGTAGCCAAATGTGTACTTCTACTTCTTACATTTCCATGCAATTATTTGAGCTTTGTACTGCTTTCATTTTCAGTGGACATATATACCTCTCCCTGGGCTGCCACCTTCCGTGGTGGAGAGGTTTGAGTGTCTCAATGATTCTGGTTGGTCCTGGAGGCTGCGTGGGAATTTGCCCAACCAGTCTACATGTGTTTTGTGGATTTGGAGAAGGTGTTTGACCGCATCCCTCGGGAAGCCCTGTGGAGGGTACTCCGGGAGTATGGGGTACCAGGCCCTCTGATACAGGCTGTTAGGTTCCTGTATGACCGGTGTCAGAGCTTGGTCCACATTGCCGGCAGTGAGTCGGGCTCGTTCCCAGTGAGAATAGGACTCCACCAAGGCTGCCCTTTGTCACCGATTCTGTTCATAACCTTTATGGACAGGATTTTTAGGCGCAGCCAAGGTGTGGAGGGCATCCGTTTTGGTGGCCTGAGGATCAGGTCTCTGCTTTTTGAAGATGATGTGGTCCTGTTGGCTTCATCAGAATGTGATCTTCAGCTTTCGCTGGAGTGGTTCGCAGCCTAGTGTGAAGCAGCTGGGATGAGAATCAGCTCCTCTAAATCTGAGACGATGGTCTTGATTTGGAAAAGGGTAGAATGCCTTCTCCGGGTCAGGGACGAGGTCCTGCCCCAAGTGGAAGTATCTCGGGGTCTTGTTCATGAGTGAGGGAAAACTGGAGCGTGAGATCGATAGGCGGATTGGTGCTGCATCTGCAGTGATGCGGGCGTTGTACTGGTCTGTCGTGGTGAAGAGAGAGCTGAGTCAGAAGGCAAAGCTCTCGATTTACCGGTCAATCTACGTTCCTACCTTCAACTATGGTCGTGAGCTTTGGGTAGTGACCGAAAAAACGAGATCGCGGATCCAAGCGGCCGAAATGAGTTTTCTCAGAAAAGTGGCTGGGCTCTCCCTTAGAGATAGGGTGAGAAGATCAGTCATTCGGGAGGGGCTCGGAGTAGAGCCGCTGCTCTTCCACATTGAGAGGAGCCAGTTGAGGTGGCTCAGTCATCTGGTCAGGATGCATCCTGGACGTCTCCCTGGTGAGGTTTTCCGGGCACGTCCAACCGGGAGGAGACCTAAAGGTAGACCCAGGACACGGTGGAGGGACTATGGCTCTCACCTGGCCAGGGAACACCTTGGGATTCCCCTCGGAGGAGCTGGCCCAAGTGGCTGGGGAGAGGGAAGTCTGGGCCTCTTGCCTTAGGCTACTGCCCCTGCGACCCGACTCTGGATAAGCAGATGAAAATAGATGGATGGATGGATGGATATATGCAGCTGAAACAGGCCCAGTGTATCTCAAATTTGTCAATTTTTGACATTTTATATTAAATACCATCATTATGGTCAGTAATGGCCTGTTTTATAAAAGGTGTGGTAATGTGCGCGTCTTTGTTGTCCTAAATGGCATTTTTTTAAACTTACATTACGTGTTCACTTCTTACTTTAAGCTGTTTTGCAACCAGTGCTTTTACTTGAGTAAAATGCTTGAAGTGAGACTTCTGCATTTCTGACCCCCTCTCCATTTTCAAATCTAAACTCTCCAAGACAGCATACTGTTTATGAGTTAGTTTTATTGTTTTGCTTTCTGACTTTTGGTTCTGTAATTTCTGGGGATTTAATGAGTGATTTGTTTAGCTTGTTTTTAACTTGATTTCTATTATTTTTTGTTGTAAAGTGACCTTGAGTTCCTTGAAAGATGCTTTAGATAAAACGTAATTCTTGTTAAACCCTATTATCTATTCTACATTAGTAACGAATGTGATTGTTTTTGACACCTCTGATGAATGCAGAAACTATTTTTAACATTGCTGACTGACCACAGTTGTTTCTACTTTATTTTGAAATGAATACATTTTTACCGGAAGTGCTCTTGTTGTTCGCGTTTGCCGCTTTGACGCCATTCTGCTGTGTTTTGTGTCAACTTGCTTCTTTTTTGACATGAATAAAACAAGGATTTCCGCAGACGTGACCTCGTTTATTGCTGCAGTGGATGTCAGAGAGCTCGAGTAATCACTGAGGTAATGACACGACCTTTATATTCACCAGAGTTTATGGAAACACGGCTAGCAGCTAAAACAACCCATGCTAGCAGGATGGATGGGGAGGTTACTATGAAGAGCCTCATTCATTTAAATATAAATATATGCTTCACACAGAGAAAACGTCTGAAATTCTTGTTCATTCTGTGTAATCCATCAAATATCTGGAAGTGTAGTCTTTGATCTGTTTGTACTATTAATGTATAAACATGTAATAACACTGTAGTTCCTCTGCACCTTTTGTTCATCTTCTTCATCTCTTGTTGGAGGCGGTTGATGCTGTCCCAGCTCGTGCCAAGCTGTCAGCATGGATGAAGAAAGCCTGGAGGCTGCCATCGCTGCCTATGGGGCCCAGCTGCAGCAGGTGGAGATGGCCCTGTCAGCTGGCCTGGACCCCAGCCAGCAGCCAGACCTGCTCAAGCTCAAAGAAGACCTCTGCCAGCTGATAGCGCTAACAGAAGCCAGCCTTTTATCTGTACAGAAAAGCCGGCTACTGTCCAGCCTAGAAGACAGCAACGGACCTCAGATGAACACCTCAGAGGCAGCGGCTGATTCCGGTGTTTTTGATGCTGAATTTGCTGCGTTTTACTCTGAACTAGGAGAAAGTTCTGGCAGCAGCTCTGATACCAGAGAGAAGGATAAGGACAGTGGGAGCGTGTATTATGAGGAGGAAGATGAGGAGGAAGATGATCTTAGTGGTACCAAAGTAAGGGCGCCTTACAGGACAACATGGGGGACGCTGGAGTATCACAATGCCATGGTGGTGGGGGCAGAACCGGCTGCTGATGGAGAGGAGGCACAAGTCAGGGTGCTCTACATCTACCCCACCCAAAAATCTATGAAGCCCTGTCCGTTCTACCTGGAAGACAAATGTCGCTTTCTGGATAACTGCAGGTAAAATCAAATCAAAGATGCTTTATTAATCCCAGAGGGAAATTAGAGTTTCAGTACACACAATTCAGAGATCAGACATACACGGGCAAGACACATGACAAGAATTGGTGACTGTGGTCATTCGCAACCCTGAGTTAACAGAGATAAGAGGGTTTACATGAGGATTGGTTCAGGTGGAGGAAAAAAAAGGCACTTCAGAGCTGCCCTCAAACATATATGCAACAGACTTCAGACAACACAACATAAGTGTCCACTAGGTGGGGTGGTGGGTTGGGACTATCCCCACTTCATTTCCTGCAGCCACGATAAGCAGCGCATGTCACCTCAGTGTGGATGGGGGGGGGGGAGCATTGAGGGTTGGAGGGTTGGAGGGTTGCAGTGACCCTGGAACGTTTCAGCGGCCTTCCCGCTGTCCCGCCCAGGCTGGGATAGGAGACAGAGTAGAGTTGCCATAGCGACGGCACATTCCACATATCTTCTGAGGGGGGGGGAGTTTTCGTGGAGCCTTGCAGGCTCAAGGACACCAGATTCCGATTAGAAATTGTTTTGGGGCCAGACAGAGATAATTTCCTCTCTGTCTTACAATTTGTTGGTCCTCAACCTCTCAGAATCCCAATAATGGACGTTAATCTATCCCGATCCGTGCTGATTCGTCCACTCTCTCCTTGATGGCATCCATCTTTTGTGCCAAAGAAGGAATCTCCGCCAAAGTCCCAAGCTTACGATTCATCTCGACAATTATTTGAGTCTGAATTCACTGCGGTGCAAACCATCTCTGAGCTCCGGGATCAGGCCAATATTCCTCGACAGCTCGTTAATTTTCCGGTAAGCCAGGTAGCCTCCAAGGCCAATGAGCAGGAAACCTGACACCAACACCACGAATATCCACACGTCTTCAGAGTCCTCCACAGACAGCTGGTCTGTCCCGGAGGGGCATCCGGGAGTCCCTTCTCCCGTTCTCGTCGTTGAAAAAATTGTATCAACCGCGTTGAGAGACCAGCTGACGAGATCCATTTTAGTGAATTTCAGTTTCCAGAAAATAATGCAGAAGCAGCCGTGCACCCAGCACACGCGGACAGACAAAGGCTTTGAGGATAAGATACGGAGGAGAGGAGAAGAAAAGCGTCTGCACCCTCCGAGAGCCGGAAGCAGGAACCAAACATCTGTTGCTTTTTTATTATTTGTGTTTTGTCACATTAATGTAAAGGACATTCACACACAAGTTTAGAAAATAATGTTCAACGTGTGTATTTTTTAAAATCTTCTCATCATTTTAGCATCTTTTATTTAGAAAAAAAATCTTCCGCACCTTTACATTTGTTGTTATTCTTTTGTTTTACCCGGATAAAACCGAATCACTCCGAATGGGATTTTATTATCAGTCAGAGGAAAGTTGTGATAAATAACTGAATGGTTTTCTTACAGAAACTCGTCTCACTTTTGCAGGTTTTCTCACGGTGAAGTGGTGTTTGTGTCGGAGCTCAGAGACTTCTTGGAGTGCGACCTTGGTAACCTCGAAGAGGGTTCGTCCTGCTTGGCTCGGCACGAGGATGGTATCTGGTACCCCGCCAAAATAAAAGGTCTCTCAATCACATTTTGTTTTAATTTGTTAAATGTCATCTAAATGTAGTTTGATCACAATAATTATAAATTTGAAATTATTATTTCCGTTTTCTCTCATCTTAGAACTTGACAGTGGTTTCTATACCGTAAAGTTTGACTCACTGCTGCTGAAAGATGCTGTCGTTGAGGCTGATGGCATCATCCCACCTCTCAGAGAGGACGACCCACTCTCCTCAGACTCTGATACTGAAGAACCTGGAGATGGGGAGGCTGTGGGGTATGCTAAAGGTATGAAGACCATTTTAAATAAAAGGAATCTGTATGAAAAAACACACCTCCTTCACTTAAACCAATGTAAAGGTTGTGTTCTTAAATATAGTAATTATGTAATTATATTTTAAAAGACATAGTTAATTTGTAAAAAAATATAAAAAATATATACAATAAATATAAATAAACACCTCCTTACATTTTAAGCTTTAAAAATATTTTTTATGTTTTAACATATTTTTAAAAAATATTTAAAATTAAAAAAATATATAAATATTTGTATACATCAATATTTACTTTTTTATCTAAACTGAGTGAAAGGGTGTTTTTAAATGTGAATGTGTGTGTGCATGTGTGTGTGTAGGTGGGTGGATGACTGATTGAGTTGTAAAGTGCAATGGGGGGGGGGGGCTCTAGGACTCAAATACAGGCCGTTTACTATTTTACATAAAATCAACATTAAACATTTGAATATGAATACACACCTTGAATTAAACCAATTTAAGAGTTATGTTTTTAAATATTGGAATTATTTTTTTATTTTTAATTATTTGTCTTATTCTGAAAAAAGTATATATATATATATATATATATATATATATATATATATATATATATATATATATACATACACACACACACACACACACTTATATACATATATATGTATATGTGTGTACACATATTTATTTATATATATATATACATATATATGTATATATATATATATATATATATATATATACAGTATATATATATATACATATATATATACTGTATATATATATACATATATATACAGTATATATATATATATATTTATATATATATACTGTATATATATGTATATATATATATATATATATACTGTATATATATATACATATATATGTATATATATATGTATATACTCTATATATATGTATATATATATATACATATATATGTATATATATATGTATATACTCTCTCTCTCTCTCTCTCTCTCTCTCTCTCTCTCTCTATATATATATATATATATATATATATATATATATATATATATATATATATACACACACACACTTATATATTACATACATAAAAATGTAATATACATGTTGTTACACATTTCTGCGTTATTTTTTTCGCCACAGTTCTGGACTCTGCCACAGAATCCACGTTAGCATCAAGCAGCGCTAACTTCGGTGGCTGGGAGGCTCACACTAGAGGCATCGGATCCAAGCTCATGCTCAAAATGGGCTATGAATATGGCAAAGGTGAGAGTTCAAATGCATTTGGTGTTATGAAGTCCTGTCATCTGTGAAATACTCTTGTTTTTTTCAAACTCTCTTTTTAGTTTAGAATCGAACTAAACTGAATCCAAATGAACAAATGAAACTGATAAAATAGCTGCTGATGATTAATGACACACAGAGACAAAAAAGTGCTCTTGTAGACTATTTAGCGCTTTTAAATTCATTTCTGCTGAGGATGTGCTCAGTGCAGTTTGCTGCGTTGCCTTGCCAGTGCGTGACGTATTGCTACCTGTAATTCTACTGTTTCAAACATTCAAAGGCACATTTACATCCATAAAACCTAATCGTTGGTGCAAAAGCTGTTTGATGATCTAGATCGAGTCCATCTCCTGAAATCCACCTAATAAAATGTTTTAACTTGATCCAGACAAAAATAATCCTAATCTCAAAGAAACCTTTACTTTGATGACCGGCCCGGGGGGACAGTTTTCCATATGAAAAAGAGATTTTCTCTTTCTTTTTTTCAATAAATAAAGATCAGGGGTCTCATGCATCAAGCGTGCTTACGCACAAAACAGGGTCGGAAGACTGCGTGAGCAACTTTCCACGCAAACTTTGGGATTTATGAAAGAAAACTTAGCGGAAAAATGTGCGCAACTTTAAGTTGACAAAGGACCTGGCTTACGCACATGTTGGACGTGGAGAGCACCTGCAGTGCTGCTGCTGAGAAGATACAATTATGAAATCCTGCAGCATCATCACTTGTACCGCTTCGTTTTCACACAGAACAAGACCCCCACATGCACACACGCGCGCACGCACACTCACACACACACACACGCGCGCACGCACACTCACACACACGCACACACGCGCATGCACACACACACACATGCACACACGCGCATGCACACACACACACATGCACACACGCGCATGCACACTCACACACACACACACACGCACACACGCGCATGCACACACACACACATGCACACACGCGCATGCACACTCACTCACACACGCACACACGCGCATGCACACTCACACACACACGCACACACGCGCATGCACACACACACACATGCACACACGCGCATGCACACACACACACACGCACACACGCGCATGCACACACACACACATGCACACACGCGCATGCACACTCACACACACACACGCGCATGCACACACACACACACATGCACACACGCGCATGCACACTCACTCACACACGCACACACGCGCATGCACACTCACACACACACGCACACACGCGCATGCACACACACACACATGCACACACGCGCATGCACACACACACACACACACACACGCGCATGCACACACACACTCACACACTCACACAGCCTGACGCGCAGAATACGGAGTGCAGAATATCAGCAGGGGGACAGATTGAGACAGAACATCATGCGTCTGTGACAGTGTGTACTTGTACAGGGGAGATCTCCGTTTGGCTGACTGGTTAGCATGCCTGACTTTCACCTGGGAGTCTGGGGATCGAATCCCGATTGGACCACTTTTTTTTATATCCGCCACAGATCTCTCTGAAGAACTCACAGCATCGACGGCTTCAGCAACGCTGTGCCGCTCCGTGGATTTTCTCTTACTTGTTTTGCAAAAGCACTTCCTTTCATTTCTCCACCTCACCCACAGGTTCCTCAGTTTCTGTTTCTGTGAAATAGCGCTTCCTTCATCTGCCTTGATCTACGGTCCCCATCGTCATTGGCGGAGCTGCAACAGCCGGCTTATGTATATTAAATTCAATTCAATTCAAAAATACTTTATTAATCCCAGAGGAAAATTGATTAATATGCATGAGATCCACAAGGCACTAGTTTGCATTGACCATTTATGGCAGTAAGTGGGCGTGGTGAGGACGGGATGTGACTAAAATGCAGCTGAGAAACTTTCTCGTTAGTCTCCGATTTATGAAGCAGAGATTGCGTGCAGCTGTGTGTACTCCATGTTTGATAGATCACAAACCAACTTGGCGTAAGTACATTTGTTTTTGCTGAGCTTAAGTACGGTTGTAGTAAGGATTCTACGCTACGTTTGGTAAATGAGACCCCAGCTCCCCTTTTTCAAAAGCTTGTTCCATTCCACAGGTTTAGGAAAGCTGCAGGAGGGTCGAGTAGAGCCGGTGATGGCGGTGGTGCTACCGAAGGGGAAGTCTCTGGACGAGTGTGCAGAGCTAACACAGAGACGCACTCAGAACAAGGCTACGAAAGACGGAACACAAGCTGCCCGTCCGAAACGCCGCCGGAAGCCCCGAGTTGCCGGAAAGCGGCAAACTGTGTTTGACTTTTTAAATCACAAGCTTGGAGACAAATGCACGGATCCTGCAGAAGGGGGCGCTGCTGCGCCATCGGCAGCGACGGCGACCGGGGTGGAAGCTTACAGAGCAGGAAGGAACGCCAAGAGGAGCCTGAATGTGAAGCTGTTCCAGGCTGCTGAGAGGGTTGCTCAGACTGAGAGGGAGATCCAGAAACTGAGCGAGTCACTGAGCAGGCAGACGGGCAGGTCGGTCCAGATGTGTCTCACAGCACTTCATCAGTTCTGGTCGAGTTCAGATAGCTTTTATTTCTGATCAGATGTATTTAAAGTAACATGAGAGCGGCAGGAGTTGTGTGAGAATGTAAACAGGATGTGAAAATGTGAGGTGAGATTCTTGTTTCTATAGCTACCAGAAATCCTCTTTACTTGTCACCCCTCTCCTCCTCCTCCTCCTCCTCCTCCTCCTCCTCCTCCTCCTCCTCCTTCATGCCGGGTTTGTTTGTGTTTTGCACAGAGATGCTTCCAGAGTTAAGCAGCTGGAGGAGCAACTGTCAGGGGCTCGCCGCCTGCTGGCCCAGCAGAAAGCACAGGAGCTCTCCATCCAGAGCGAGCACAGGAAGGCCGACACACACAAGAAGATGACCGAGTTCTGATACCCACTTTTTTATTTTAAGACTTCAGAAACAGAAAGGAGGCCTCCTGAAAATAAATGTTGTTTTCACTTCAGTTTTGTGTCCGGATCACTTCTCACCGGCACTTTCCCATCTTTTTTTTTTCACTTTAAAAGACAAAAGCTTTCTTCTGGCAGAGTTTAAAGCTACAATAATATAAAATAGAAGTTATGAACAATTTTTCTTCACGACTAAAAGTCTTGCTGAACTTGTTGTACTTTTATTTCTAACTTACACAACTTTACAAATAAATCTGGTGCAAAAAAGACTCTGCTTCATTTATTTACTTTTCTACGTTTTCTTTTCACTTTGGCGGGAGTTCTGAGTCATGCTGGCCAGCGGCTCCTCAGGTGCTTAGTGCAGTTTACTCCCAGTATCATAGTGGTTTTCATGTCACATCTCAAGTGATTATATACATCACATCTGTGAAGCTACAACCGTAACCTCTCTTAAATTCAGAGGTGGAAAGTAACAAGTTACATTTCCTCACGTTACTGTAACTGAGTAGCTTCTTTTGTATTCCATGCTGTAGTTCTTTTTTAAAACACAGAGCAGGTAAACAAAACTGCTCTGTGTTTTAAAAAAGAACTACAGCATGGAATTCGAGATACGACACAGCAAGAACACACCTAAGAAGCTTTTTTTGTATATTTATACTTTTTAAGTCGTTTTTTAAATCTGTACTTTTACTTGGGTACGTTTTTAAAAAAAGAATTGTAATTCGCTACATTTTAAATCATATCCGTTACTGAGTAAAAATAAATTGTAGGCTTGATAAATTAAACATATTATGTGTAGCAGTGTCGGAACAGAAAGAGACACCTGCATGAGCGCCGCATCTAAACAGTGGGGGGTGTGGTTGCATGGACGTGATTTTCACGTGGAGGGGGGGGGGGGGGGGGGGGGGATCTTTACAGCATGCTCTAATGGGAAACAGGCTTCAACACAAATGGTTGTTTTCCGCTTGGTCCTAGAGCTCAACCAGTGTCAATTTAATATAGCGTAATGTTGGTTTTGGATGGTAAAAAGTGCAGGGGTCAAAACTTGACTTTGGAAAAAGTGGGGGGGACATGTCCCCCCTGTCCCCTCCCCAAAATTACGTCCATGTGTGGGTGTACATTTTAGATAATGAAGACAAACAGCCATTTTTACCGCAGTTTTGCTCCAAAACATCAGTTCAGTCCCTGTGATCCACTCGCTGTTTACCTCCTCTCCTGCGGGTTGGATCCCGCACCTTCGCGCACCGGTGTGACGTCATCAGAATTCTGCTCGGCTCGGTAGCCAGACTCGGTTCCGTGTTTGAAATGTGTTTCCCTACCGCTCCGCACGGAAGCGGCAAAATAACGTTTAGCGCTCATAACAAGCGGATTATCAGTGCTTTGCTCATAAAACAGAAGACCTGCAGGCCTCTGTGAGTTAATCCTGATACTGTTCAGGTGTAAACATTGTGCTCCATCTGTGTGTTTGAACTCAGAAGATGCTCCTTGATGCCACAGATATGTGATGATTAAATAATTTATTAAGAGAGCAGCTCACAAAACCGATACTTTCTCCATAGGCGACTGCTTCTGCTCTGCAGTTGGATACAAGCTTGTGGTGTTAGTAAAAATTAATCTGGTGCCTCATTTTTGTTAGCTCTAACATGAGGATGTGTTGTCACAGGGCAGGATTAAAATTTTAAAAAGAAAACTCAAAATTTTTGCTGCTTCCCAAAAGAATCAGGTAAGCCAAACTCTGCTCAAGTTTAGCCGGAAACCATGAAAGAGAGCTGGAGAGACAAATGTACATCAGCAAACTCACACTCTGCCTGTCCCTGAAGGGGAAGAGATACGAAACGGAGGCAGTTCTGACCCTAATGAGATAGGCGGACCCGTAAGAGCCCAGCTCTCAGTCACACTCGCAGAACCCCTGAATCTTCCACTCTACCCTGAGGGAAGCCCCGCTCGGGCTCTTTTCTGTTGAGTGGCAGCACGCTGACTGCTGGTGACCAGAGGGACCACATGGAATTTGCTGATTGTTGGAGAAAATGGCAAAATGCTCTGGGTTGTGTGGATTTAATGGGATCCCTCGAGGCTCTGTTCTTCACGCCTTCCCCATTTGTGAGCCCCAGGTCTGAGCTCACCACTACAGAGACAGAGACAAATTTACAGTTTGTAGGACAAGTGTGTGCGCCACAGTCCTGGAAAGATCTGGAGTTTGCATGCCAACTCACCTGGTTCCGTTTGCTGTTAATCGTTGTAGCGTCATGAAGGAACTGTTTTCTGACCTAAAGGTCCTTTCTCCTCAGGAAGATCTAATCTCCTTCAGATCTGCTCAAGGCCTTTTGATGCCTCGGCATCTAAACTGTTTTAACTAGCTATAGAGCTCCGGACCCCACGTGACTCTCAGTTAGTAGACGCCATTTTGGCAGGAAAAAAAGGTAAACAAACACGGATGTAACCATGAACGTGAACAGGATCCGCTTGGATTTTACTTCATCTGAGTTTACTTCACACTTTAAAACGAAGAAATCGTTTTATATAATCAGAAATTAAATAGACTAAACATCTCCGACCCTTACCGTGCCCCTGGGATACTTTTTAAAAACGCCAGAAGCTGTCGGAGCGGACTTCTTACCGGACCTGGCCGGGGAACCCCTTGGGATTCCCCCCGGAGGAGCTGGCTCAGGCGGCTGGGGAGAGGGAAGTCTGGGCCTCTCGACTTGGGCAACTGCCCCCGCAACCCGACTCCGGATAAGCGGATGAAAATGGATGGATGGACAAATAACAGATTTACACGTAAGTAGTTTAAATAGAGCGCTGTGCTGTTTGAATGTATAAACTGAACGCCAAGAGAAATCACTAGTTTGATTTTTTTTCGTGAATAAAATAAATATGTCAGGCAGGAGCGTCTCAGGATCTGTCTCGGTGAGATAGATAAAAGCAATCCAAAGTGCTTTTTATGTGTGATCTGACAATTGATCAACCATTGCTTAAAAATTAAATACAGCTTAGCCGGTTAATTGCTGTGATCATAAAACACGTAAACGCAGCACGCAGAACTCACGAGGCACCGTTTTACGTGATGTTTACTTGTTGCTATGAGTAATAAGACAGAAAAAGCCACGCCAAATTAAGTTTAGGAAGCCCACTAAGAATCGTAATATAAGCATTTAAAATAAATACCATACACAGTTGAGGAAACGTTGGTTTAAGTACCTGATATGAAGTGGTCGCTGCATAAGTGAAAACCTTTACTCTCGGGATCCCGTGGCTTCATTTTAGCCCGGTCACTAGGGCTTTTTATTACAATGATCCAACATTTGCGGCGTTCCGGATCTTGGGGAATCCTGTAGATGGCTCATTCCTTATGTCGTCCGCATCTGTTCTGCATCCTGGGGCACAACAGGAATCTACCATATTTCCTGTCTGATTGAGTTTTCTGACAATAACAAATAGTCCAGCTGCCGGCTTCTACCTGCCTAATGGCGCCGTTTCGATTTGAACTGTTGCATGCCGGGAAATGTGACGTCAACTCCCGGAGCTCTAATTGCCTCCCCCTACAGCTCAAGAGAAGAAAGAAGACCAAAAACTCTTTCTCTATTAAATAACGATCAAATACCTGTGTTAGTCCAAATAATCATGTAAAGATCATGTTAAATCAATCTGTGAAATGAGAATATCAATTACTTGATAATATGATACTATGATAGTATTTTAATAAGTAATATAACTTTTAAACTACACACTAGACCGATTACACATAATGTTAATCACATGACACATTCCTTTGTCTCTCCATCAGAGCTTTCCTTTCTGACGCGTGGCATGATCTGTGAGGTGTTTATATTTGTTGTCCAATTTTGATTCGACCATAAATCAAAACATCTGAATTATAAAACTAACTCCCACATCACCCTTAACTGGGTCCAAACGTTCTAGAGTTGCGAGCTGGCCCCTCGTAACTTTTTAACCACAAAGAACCAGCTGGAAAATAAACCTGTTGCAAGCTCCACCTGAAGCAACGCTCCTTCAGAGTAAAAGCTGAACTCACTGACCCTTCAGGGTCCCGCTGACACTGACAACCAACTGCCGCTGACCTGGAGGAAATCCCAAGACTAGTCTGTCGTACCGTACGTTGTTTCATCAGCTTTGGTACCAAATGGGGGTCTGAGGACCTGGCGTTCTGGATCTACACGGAGGTCTCCGTCAAGGGTATGTAGAACGGCAAGACAATGTCCGAATGTGGTTTTTGAAACTCCGACTATAGTTTAGAGCAAAACATTCGCTCCCACACAGAACTAAGGCTTCTCGGGAAAAGAGAGTTTTGATAACAACACTCCACATTTACACCATCCCTTTTGTCTCATTCACAACTAGATCCATTCATCACATATAGTGTTTAGAGTTAAAGTTAGAGTTAGCCTTGTTTAAATTGTTTAGAAATAAATCTTCTTAGACTTTTAAACATGTCTCTCTCTCTCTTTTTGACTGGGTTATTACGAAGCGTTACCTAATCCCTGCAATAAAAAGTTTGGATCTTTTGATTAAAGTATTCAAAGATACATCAAATTGATTTCATATTTTCTATGGACTCTCACCTTTGATGGTTTCCTATGTAAGATGTAACTATTGATACTCTACATCATGCCTTATTAGAGCCTGAATTGTGTTATTTGTAAGGGACGATTGAGAGTTGATTCGAAGGCCACCACTAGGGTTGGGAATCGAAAACCGCTTCTTGTTGAGAACCGGTTCCCATTGGTTCAATTCCTAGGAATCGTTCACCACATTTGCAAACAATTCCCCTTATCAATGGTGCGAATGACGTCACCGCGCATGTTGCGTAGCTTACGGAAGCAGGAAACATGGCGTCTAAGCGGCACACATGCTCGAATGTTTGGTTATATTTTACCAGAAAGCACGACAACAGGGTAACTTGGAGTAATTGCAAAGTAGATGTTTCATCATGGGAGGAAGCCTTCCGAATATACAAAAGCCTTTGGACACAAAATACGCTAAAACTTCAAGTTATTGACGTGTTTAGACCCGCTCCAGGCTCGTGAATATCAACGCAGCGGTGACATTCGCACATCCTCTCCTGTTAATACTGCAGGTAACTAATCAACTAACGCTGTTTATCATGTTAGTGTCGTTTACCTTATGTGCACACCTCCACACTAGCAGACTCAATACACAAAGGTCTGACCTGTGGTGAGATGTTTCCCACTCTACAAAAGCTACAGCAACACTGCACCGAGCAAAAAGATGACTCTGCCTTCACAAGGAG